GCCCTTTCCTGCCGGGGCGGGGGCGGCGGGCGCAGTAGTTCGCGGTCGCCACGCTCCCGCCCATAGACGCGGGTCTCGGTTAGCCCCGCCCTAGCCACGCCCCTCTCCAGGCCCTCTACTACGTTCCCCTTCATAAGACCCATCCTAACCACGCCCCTCCCCGGGTCTTGCCCATAGCCACACCCTCTCCGGGGCCGGCCTCTGCGTTGTCACGCCCATCGTCCCCTTCTTGTGTCCTGCGGGCACCTCCTCTTTGGCACAGCGTTGAGGGCGCGTCTTAACCGCTTTTCGCAGCAGAGCGTCGCAGTTGTTTACCGTGGAGACACTCAGAAAATTACGTTGCGCTCTTTGCCGCAACGATCTACATTTTCTTTATGCGGTTGTTCTTAAAGAATGGTAATGACTCCTTTGTCCTTCGCAGACCTGTATAAAGTCCTAGGTCATTCGACTGGTTTAGATTTCAATTAACTACCCGAGTCTCAAATTCTCTAGTGTTGCGTTTTAAGAACTTCTTCACAGAACGTAGGGAACTACACTTGCAGAGTCAATACACTTACTAACTTTTCAGAGCTTTGTGTTTTGAGACAAAGTCTCCCTATGTAGCCCTCAGGCTGATCTTGCTTCCTGTGTGATGGGATTAAAGGTATACACCGCCACATAAGGCTACATGTTTTATTTTGGATTAGAGCACTGATAAACATTAGAAGGTCCTGTGGTGGAAACTTGGGGGTCCTAGTGTAAAACCTGGGGTGTGAATGTTAAATTAGACTGTTGGGATACTTGAAACAGATAATGTTTGATTCAGAATTTTTTGAAAGATTGTTGCACTTTACAGTTACTGGTCCTTTGTTTAAAACTGAAAGTTTGTTGAATGAATGAGTAAAACGCACAAGGCACTATGCTAGGAGAGAGAAAAAAAGAAATTGTTGAATAAAAAAAGAAGAAATAAAAAAGGAAGGATAGGAAATAGGTGTGGTTGGTGGAGGAGACGGTCTGTAATCGCTTATAAGAGGGAGAGCAGAGGCAGAGACAGAGGCGCCAGGGAGAGGCCAGACTGAACGTGACCTTGAGCCAGGCCCAGTGTGGAGAGCACGAAGGAGACAGAGGAGAGTCAGGAGTGTAAAGAGTAGAGGAAAAAGGTACCCAAAACGGTTGAATTATATAGGGAAGGGCATCTGGAAGAAGGGTAGTCCAGGCCCTAGGTTGGAGAAGTTTAGGGTAGGAAGCGGGGTGTGTTAGTCAGAAGGACCCTGTAACTGGTGAGGACTGAGGGATCCTGGGAGAACCCGACAGCCAGGTCCACTTTGTTATGTTAAAAAGACACCTCAGCCAGGGTGTCTCAAGTTTGAGACCTAACAGCTGTGCTCCTGGAGCGATCGGTAATTAGAGTGTTTTGGTTTGTTTTGTTTGTTAGTTAAGGGCTGTCCCCTTTACACATGCAGATTCAGTACGTGTTTAATAGGCTGCTGGGCAGTGGAGTGTGTAAACAGAGGGGAAGATGTGCTGGTGAGGACAGAATGCAAATAATCAGAAGTAAGGTCCAAGCCAGACACTTAAAAGGCTAGACTATCGATTTGTTAAAATGACGGGTAATGGAAGGCAGACTTTTGTGTTGAAGAATTTTGCTCAACACCTGTCTCTGAAAATGTAATCTAAGCAAATAATCCAAAATCATTAAAAACCTGTTAGTTTAGATCATGGAGAATTTTTACTTTTATCGGTCAAAACTATTGAACATTTGGTCATTCCATAAGACCGACTTAATATACACACAAAGGAAAGACTAGGTGTGGTGGCACAGTCCTGTAGTCCCAGGATTCCAGAGGCAGAGGCAGAGGCAGAGACAGAGGCAGGAGGATCATCCTCAGTCTTGACTGCGTAGCAAGTTCAAGACTAGCGTAGAATACAAGAGATAGTTGTGTGTGTGTGTGTGTGTGTGTGTAAGATAATGTGACATGATTTGAACTGAAAAGGCAGGCAAACAAACGCACAATCTTAGCGCCATGGTTACACGACAGTGGCACAAACAAGCCTTTAAAATTGACAGATACTTTTTACACATTAAAGCCCCCACATTTTATACGCTCAATAGTTTTTAACTGTTTATATTAATTAATATTAATTAGTTAATAGTAATAACTAATATTAATAGTATTTAACAACTGCACACACCACCCAAATAAGAGCTGAGGCATTTTCATTTTTCGGGACTAGTCCTTGTGTTCCTTTCCAGTTTTTCAGATCTCCCAGCAACCCAGGGAGAGGCCCCTGGGCTCTGATTTCAACCACTGCAGACTAGTTTCCTTGGTTCTTGGACTTCATGGAGCCCTACAACATGCGTTGCCTCGCATCTAACTCCTGCTTCCTGTCTGACTTCAGTATAGTGACTGTGAGAGTCATCGATGCCGCATCAGTGGCTGCAGAGCCATCCACGCCGCCTTAGCAGCTACACTCATTATTAAATACTACCCATTGTACCACTAGCAATTGCCCTGTGTCCATTCTACTGCGAACCGCCATTTGGTCTGTTTCTAGTTTGGGATTGGGATTTACTATGAGTAAATCCTTATATATCTGAAACTGTCTCATGAAAAAGATTTAAAATTCAAATTGCTAAATCATATGATAATTTTAATTGAACCGAAGAATTATCCTTTCAAAGGGACCACATCCTTTTACATTCTTGCCAAGGGATGAGATTTTCAGGTGTTTTATATCCTTGACAGGCTTGAGGGTTTTTTTTTGTTGTTGTTGTTGTTCTTTGTTTTGTTTTTTCAAGACAGGATTTTCCAAGTGCTGGGATTAAAGGCATGCGCCACCACTGCCCAGTTAGGCTTGAATGTTTTTGACCCTTTTTGGAAGTTATAACATTGGTGGGAGTTTTCACTCTTTATGAATGTAATATAGGGCAACAACGAAATAAAGGGGTGAAAATAGGGAGATGGTTAGCATGAATTAAAACATTTAAAAAAATCCTCAAAAAATTAAAGAAATAATTAAAAAATAAAAGAAATAACTTAAAAATAAACTGATTAAAATAGGCAACTAAAAATTTTAAATGGGCACTCTGTAGAACAAGGTCGTGAAGGGAGGGGAGTGTGGTGGTGCGGCCATTCTCCCGCCTTCCACCTCTGTGCCCTCACAGAGCCCCCAGCGGCGCCATGTTGGGCTGGAGTGTCAGTCTGGAGGTTCACCACCTCTGTGGTCTGTCGCAGCCACCGTGAGGAGGGCCCGGGGAAGAATTTGCCATTTTCAGTGGAAAACAAGTGGCAGTTACTGGCGATGATGACGGTGATGACGGTGATCTGGATTTGCTGCTCCTTTCTTCATAGTAAGGCACCAGCTTCTTAAAAAGTGAGGATATTTAATTCATCCTCTTAACAGAATGAAGATTGTTTAGGAGATGTGATCTGAAAACTGGATTAAATTCTTTAACTCTAATTACTAAATAAAAGTGTAAATAAACGTGTGACATAATTTTTTTAAATGGACCACAAAAATATTAAAGAAAAATGAACCATGAATTAACAATTTTTTTTTTTTTTTTTTTTTTTGGTGTTTTGAGACAGGGTTTTTCTGTAGCTTTGGAGCCTGCCCTGGAATTCACAAAGATCCGCCTGCTTCTGCCTCCTGAGTGCTGGGATTAAAGGTGTGCGCCACCACTGCCCGGTGAATTAACAATATGTTGTCTTCAAGAAACTTGTGTAAATTATAATGTATCTGTTATTCTTTTGCTCTGGTCCCTTTAAGGGCAAGCCACGCCCACTCCCAGCGACTTCTGACCTCCTGGTTGCCATCTTAACTCTTTCTCTTCTGTCCCCTACTCTCGGTGTGTGCACACGTGTCTCTCTCTGTGTCTATGTTTTCATGTCTCTATGTCTCTCTATCTCTGTCTCTCTGTCTCTCTGCCTCTTCTTTAAGGAATAAATGTTTAGCTTTATGAATAGTCTTATGTTTATTTACTCCGCCATCCGCCGCACCTGCCCGCCTGACTCGCCTGGCTGCATGGCGGGACCAGCCTGCCACCCTGGAGATCTTGCAGGGACCCACAGCTGTCCTTATGGGACTAGCGGCTGCTCTGCGAGCCTGACAGGGAACATGCCAGCATTAAACAACACAGTATCTGGGTTAGAAACAGGGCGAGGAAAGGGAGGAGCCTTTTGTCCTCTTTCTGAGTTGCATGCCGACAGAGATTAATGAAAGCTCTGGCTTCTCTATGGCTAAGATGTAGCACAGTGTTGACGACAGTGGACAGGACGATAAGGGGCAGAAGACATGTGGTGCTCTGGTCGCAGGCATGGGGCGGGCGGCAATGCTTTCTACAGCCCATGTGTTTTATACAGCACGTTAGCAAAAGTATTCCACATATTTGTGTCTATGCCACAAGTTAATTTTCTTTCCTTTATTTCAGCAAAATCACTACTTATGTTATATTATGAAGAATGTCACATAATTTGTTATTTTAGACTAGAGAATATGTAAAAGATTATGGAATAAAAACTGAATGCTGGGTGATGGTGTCACACACCTTTAATTCCCAGCACACAGGAGGCAGAGGCAGGCGGATCTCTGTGAGTTGAAGGTAGCCTGGTCTA